ACCCCATTTCAGTTACAGCAGTGAAAACTAGAGGTACTGTGAGCACCGAGCTAACAAAATGATACCCCCGCTCCCATATGAGTATAATTGCAAAGTGAATGTTTTGTTACGGGAAACCTCAAATATCTGTCCGATCATTAAAATAAGAAGTGCACAAAGGCTCTATGTAAGAAAGATTTTGTGAAAGCCTTGATAAATTTCATTTAGTGGTATAGGAGGAGTTGCGGATAAGAGATGGTTACCCGCTATGTTATAGAAAGAATGACAGTGTCTATGTTTAGCTTTGGGAAAACCCAAATATCTGTCTTATGGAAAAATAAAATAAAGCATGCACAATAGTACTATGTAATAAAGATTCTGTGATAGTCTCGTTGAATTTCATCCAGTGGTTTAGGAGGAGTTGCGGATGAGAGATGTGTACCCCCCTATGTTATAGAAAGATTAGCAATATCAATATATTTTGCATTGGTAACCCTATTTTATCTGCCAGATTGAAAAATAAAATATGAGGTCACAATGACTTTATGTAATAATGATTCTGTGAAAGTCTCATTAAATTTCATTCAGTTGTATAGGAGGAGTTGCGGATAAGAGATGGGTACCCCCATATTATAGAAAAAGTGGCAGTGTCTATGTTTTGCTTTGGGAAACCCTACTCATCTGCCAGATCAAAAAAATTAAATAGGAGGTGCACAATGGCACTATGTTTAAAGATTCTGTGAAAGTCTCATTAAATTTTATCCTGTGATATAAGAGGAGTTTCGAATAAGAGACTGGTATTTCCAAGTGCTACGGACGCACGGAAGGACGGACACCATCATCACTTAAAGCGGGGGTATAAAAATACGATGTTATCACTGCACGATAATATTTATTTTAGATTTGTCATGTTATACGAACAATATCAAGTTAATATTATACAAGCATTGCTGTTTTTGCCATCAATACGATGATTTAGCCACCTGAGGAGTACAATATTCACTTAGTCCGAAAATTCACTTCAGGCTCGGTGAATATTGTACTCCCCAGGTGGCTAAATCATCGTATTGATTAAAAACACAGCAATAATTGTTTTATGATTCAATGATTAAATGATACAAACTCATTAAGCAATCTATGCCATCTTTATAATTGTTTATATTTTACTTATTCATTGTTCGTTCTTATTACAATTAGGCTGCGATTACTTTGAATGCCAATGTACCGGATTAGACAGTGGATGACGTCCCCATACCGGAAGCATGCTGTCAAACTGGAGGAGGCAGACGCGGTTTTCATCGGAATGAACTGCGCGAAAGCCCCTTAAACAATGATCCTGCATATTCAAGAAATTAGAAAAAGTTTGCAAGGTTTTAAAATTTTCATTAACACATTTTGTTAAGTCATTTAATGGTAATTTATTACGTATATACAGAGTGCGCGGTGTACTGAAGTTATTCTAGAAGAGGGGAGACATACTTTCTAATTATAAACCTTCAATCCAATTTTACAAAAATACAAAATATCAATGAGAAGATAGAAAGCATTGCTGAAGTTTTAACAAAATTACATTTAAAATGTTGTTAATTTGATTTCAGGGGCCATTGCTGCCATTCACGTAAAAATCCGCTGTCAAGATACATGTAGTTATAGTACGATCTATTCTTTTAGGGATTAAGAAAAAAGTCTGAACAATAATATTTTGAATACATGTAAATCATTAAAGATTCGAACATTCAAACGCATTTTTATCCCTTTTTTTTCCAATTTCAGGAAAGTTTCTCTATCCAAATAACCATGATTGTAGAAAGTATTCCTCAGATATCAGAGAGTTTGCAACGGCAGCAAAGGAAATTTGTGTGTAATATATTGGCCTCTTGCGGAAATGGCGCAGCTTACACGTGTGATTTAGCGGAAGTCTATGGTCGTAAACCGGAAGCTAGTCGATATTCATTTGACCTGTTCCTGTCGTTTGTCTGGGGAGAGAAAAAAGAACTCAATAAATTAGCAGATAAGGAATTCATTTATATGGTGTACGGAACGGAGAAGCAGATGAGGAAATTCGTGTACACGGTGCAAGGAGCTTAGAAGTAAAATGACAAGATGATTTATCATTAACACCTTAATTAATCCTCGATCCGCTCCTGCTCTTTAATTTTCGCCAAATAAGTTCTAGTATTCATATGTAATATCATAGGGTTTGAAGCCTCCTGTGTGACGCAGTGATGAGAGTCAAAGTGCAAGAAGTTGATCCTTATGTCGTTGGTTGGAATCCGGAGAACGTATAAATCGAAGTTCTAGTGGCGCATTATGTGTTGGCATAGAAAACACCCCCTATACTCAATGGCACAGGTTAGATAACCTCTTTATTTTTAAATTATTAGGAATTTTCCCTTTTTCAATATAACCTATAATGTAAATGTGTTCTTCGGATGCCATCAGACAGTCTACAAAAGAAGACGAAGAAATGCCTCTTTTGATTTGTGGAAAATCAGCGAAAACCTACGGTCGTAAATTGGGAGCTAGTAAACAATCATGTGACCTGTTCCTATCGTTTGAAGGAACGGAGAAAATAAGGTTGTCTTCAAAACGGATTTTAAAAACTTCATTTTTTTAATGGTTTTAAGTTTGACTTGGAAAGAGAAAAATTATTTCTTTTGTAAAAAATTAAGAAAATTTTCATAGAAAAAAAATTAAATACTTACTAGATCAGTTGGTTTCGAAATAATAAAACTCCAGTCTATACTTATAATATCTAGTTAAAATTATAAGTATTTTTATTGTCAGAAATGATGTATTGAGAAGCTCATGTTGGACAAACTTCATGTAATAATTTGAGGATTGTAAAACACATTCTTCAAATGTTCGCATTTAGGCATGCAAAGAGTGTTAATTACAAAATTCTATGCGTTAGGGATTGTATGGAGATATTACACTTTGCAATGGGAACAAAAATACAATATACCTTTACACTATAAAAAACAAATAGGGACGTATTTGATCATTGAAGCAATTTCAGATTTAAATATCCCCGCAAATCCTTCAACCTAAAGACACAAAGAGCAACAGAATCAAATATTTTACCCTGTAACATGTATGATATTAACTTCTGCACGAACATTATTTCCTCATAATTCTAATATTCATAACTGTGAAATTTCTTAACTGCATATGATAAAGAACAATGTACACTTTCAATGTAAATCTGACCCTGTAATTTTCTTTTTAAAAAAATGAAAGTGATAAAAGATTTAAAACTCATGCTTTCTGAATCGTTGAAATTCCATGCACTAAGATTAAACAAATCGTTTTTCTCATATGACTTCCTAAATTCTAATTGTGAAGTCATGAACTTCTGCTTTTCCGGTATTTTCTTAAAAAGTTGCAGAAGACATCAATTTTCAGTTAAATTTTCTTTCAAATAACATAGACCACAAGCGTCGCCTACAAAAGTTTTAAGAAGTTTGATTTTTCAAAGAATTTTACACAACATATCCGAATATTGAAGTGGGCAACGGCTGTGGACACTATTTTCTCAACAAAAAAAAAAAAAAAAAAAAAAAAAAAAAAAAAAAAAACCTGAAACGAGTCATTTCGGGACTTTTTCTACTTAAAACTTAGAAATGTACCAAATTAATGACGTCCTGCTTAATGCCATATTCATGGATTATCATACTGATATATTCAACTCATTTTTAAGCCAATTTCAAATTTTGGAAACATTAAATTTTTAGGGCACAATAAAGCCAAAACCGTATCTACTTCTTTAAAAGTTCACAAACTATATATGCACATATATTAACTCCTTCCACCGGATTCTGACGCTACGTTTTCTACAGTTTAGAACACTAGTGTATTTACAGTCGTTTCTACGTGAATAAAGGAATTTTGAGAAGAAGAAAAAACTTCATACATTTATCAAGGTCAATCTTTGTGTATATAGCTTTATTTTTTAAACACAAACCTGAACAGCAAACAAATTCATATAATTAAAGTTCATTATTCAAAACTTCCGATACACATGCACTTGAAAACAATAAGTAATCATGCAGGTTTATTTCAAAACTTCTTAAAGTGGTGCTTGTGTCATTTTTTTGTCCTTTTTGTATTAAGAGATCATATTTTGCTCTAGAGAATGGTGGCTATTCTTTTTAAACCTATAAAGCATATGGCACATTGCCAGTCGGTAACCAGGACAAGACGTAATCACGTGAACTTTAGAAAAAGATTATATAACCTATTCAGAGTATATCTATTTGCTTTTCTTGTGCTATATCACAGATATGTCATCCTCAATTTTTTAGGTTATTTATACCCGCACAGTTTTCTTGAGGATTTTCAAAAAGGAATTGAAGATTTTAATAATGCCATTTGTTGACATAGGAGGGAGAAATTTAGTGTCTTTAATTTTGTGAAATGCATTTATTTTACATGGAATTTTCGGGAAAGCAGTTTTAACTAAAAACAAAAAACCACTAGTACATTTTTGACTAGGAAGAAATTGTGTTGAACTTTATTTCAATCAAGTGTATAATTAAATCAGGAATATATTAAAATTTATACTACAAATATGCATTTACTGGATGTTATAGATAGTGTACACCCTTACCTATCGAGGAGTTTTTGTTCGTATAAATGTGCATGGAGGATATTTATCAGTGGTAAATATGTAGAATACACGAACAGTTCGTATTTTTATATTGATTTTATAAATGCATGTAGATTAGTGCATCGTTGTCATTATGAAAGCTTTAAGCATCAAAATAGGAGTGATAAATCACGCCTTATGCCTTACTGTTGTGTCCGAGGGCAAAGGATGCTTTAAAACGTCACCTACGTACTTGACATAGCAAAAGGAACTGGACAAACAATTGGAATGACTGGGAAATAAAATGACTTGCGGTGAAAAAAGATTGTCAATAAGGAAGGAGTTATCATAACAAGAAAAAGGGGGACGTCTTTGTTAAATGTCAAAATGACAAGGATCGTGAACAGGACGGGATTTTATTCGGACACACACACACACACACACACACACACACACACATATATATATATATATATATATATATATATATATATATATATATATATATATATATATATATAGTTATAATGATGCATCATCCGTACAAACCAGTGTTACCAAGCTGACCTTGTGGGAGTTAAAGGTAAAAAAATATGATGAACAGATCCTGTGGATATATTTTACTTTCACATTACTCACAATATAGATGTATTTGTGAACGTACATGTATTGGACCAAACAACAATCAATAAACGTTGTTATCTAGATGAGTATCATGCAGCTGGACTGACAATATTTCTTAGGAAACTACCCTTCCAAGGCAGGCTCGTGCCTCGAACGGAGCGAAGCGGAGTCAGTCGAGGATTGCCGATTGGGAAGAGAATATCGCGCTTGCGTTCTAGGACAGATAGTACCTGCAATGGAGATCGGAAAATAAACCGAAGTATAAATTAAGAAGGTACGATTTCAATACAAATCTGTGCTTGTATTCTTTTAAAATATGAAATTGTTGTTAGAAATTATAACTCATGCTTTCTGAATTATTTAATTTCCATGCAATAAATACAAATTTCTTTCCTCCTTAATACTGTAGTAAAAATTCTAATGCTAATATGTTAATATATTTACTATGACCACCTTACACCCTGATCTCGTAGCCACCCACCCGTACCACGCTTCCCACATCAGTCGAGTTTTACCATTCAACCTATTCTCCACGTTGTTTTCCTGTTTAGCACGCAGGATAGGTAACCTATTGTGCATTTTGTGGTAAAAGCACCATTTTTGGCACAAATACAGAGATTCACATTACAAAAAAATCTGGATATTGAGTCATTGCAGAATCGTGCCCTGACCGCATGGCAGCCATTTCACAAAATGGCGACAAGAAACACCGTAATGGTTGATATTACTAAATCATGATACTATATCATGGTTTATAGAAAATAAAAACACTCTCTGATTATTACAAACAAATGTTCAATACTTAAAATAAAATATTATATGGTTAGGCTATGACCTCTGACCCCTTAAGAAGTTCAAACAGATCTTTCTTCTCAATGGGTTCATTAGGAAAAATATTTGCAAATTTAAATATTGTGCATTGACTGTGTATTCAACGCTCCCTTGTTTTCCCCAGATATTTCGTACACGAAGAACCCTGTGTATTGACTGTGTAATGAATCAGGGATTTTCAATCTAGGTGGTGGTCTGGGTTTTGCCAGTTTGCAAAAGACCCTGAGTTCTCATCCACCAAAGGTTTGCACAGGATTTGGGTTTTTCTAGGTTGCACACATTTTATAGGGCTGGATTTTTAGCCCTACTGGTCAGAGATCAGAAGAGCTTATGCGATAGTAAGGTGTCCGTCGTCCGTCCGTCTGTCTGTCTGTCTAGCTGTCCGTCCGTCTGTAAACAATTTTTCAAAACGCTACTCCTCCCACAGTTTTGGTCTGATTTCAATAAGTAGACTACACTAAGATACATAATTCTATATATCGTTTTTTAATTTCGATGAATGGTTTTGCCATGGTTACTAAAAATAGAGATTTCTAGTAAATACTTTCAATACGCTAATGGTACACAAGTAGACTAAACAAAGATACATAATTCTGTGTATCGGTTTTTGATTTCGATGAACGGTGTTGCCATGGCTACTAAAAATAGAAATTTCCTTGAAAAACTTTCAAAATGCTACTCCTCCTATAGTTTTGATCTGATTTCAATATAACTTGGCACATAAGTAAACTACACTAAGATACATAATTCTGTATATCGGTTTTAATTTCGATGAACGGTGTTGCCATGGTTACTTAAAATAGAAATTTCTAGGAGTTACTTTCAAAACGCTACTCCCCCTATAGTTTTGGTCTGATTTCAATAAAACTTGGCAAACAGGTAAACTACACAAAGATACATAATTTTTTTTTATCGGTTTTTGATTTCGATGAACGGTGTTGCCATGGTTACTAAAAATAGAAATTTCTAGGAGTTACTTTCAAAACGCTACACCTCTTACAGTTTTGATCTGATTTCAATATAACTTGGCACACAAGTAGACTACGTGTACACTAAGATACATAATTCTGTGTATCGGTTTTTAATTTCGATGAACGGTATTGCCATGGCTACTAAAAATAGAATTTCTCTGTTATACTTTCGAAATGCTACTCTTCCTACAGCTTTGGTCTGATTTCAGTATAACTTAGCACACAAGTAGACTACACTAAGATACATAATTTTGTGCATTTTTTTTTCAATTTTGATGAATGGTGTTGCCATGTCTACTAAAAATAGACGTTTCCTTGATATAGTTTCAAAATGCTACTCCTCCTACAGTTTTAATCTGATTTCAATATAACTTGGCATACAAGTAGACTACTTAAAGATACATAATTCTGTGTATTGTTTTTTGATTTTGATGAACGGTGTTGCCATGGTTACTAAAAATAGAAATTTCTGTGAAATACTTTCAATATGCTACTCTTCCTACAGGTTTGGTCTGATTTCAGTATAACTTGGCACACAAGTAAACAACACTAAGGTACATAATTGTCTTTATTGTGTTTTGATTTTGTTGAATGATGTTGCCATGGTTACTAAAATCGAAATTTCTGTAAAATTCTTTCAAAAGGCTACTCCTCTTACAGTTTTAGTCAGATTGCAATAGATCTTGCCAAAAAAAAGACTAAACCAAGGATCATTATTCTATTTATTGCTGTTGCAAAGTTTCAAGTCTAAGTGCTACTTTTACCTTCCTTTGTTATAAGTACAAACCAGTAGAGCTACAGTCTCGTCAGAGACTTCTGGTTCTAGGTAGTACACATTTTATGAGTGTTGAGTTTTTTCCAGATTTGATCCCAAATGTGCACTCATTTGACCCACCCAGCTAGGCTCCTTATACTTTACGTCTATTATAACCACACCAGCTCTGAAAGGCGCTAAATTTATAATAAAGATGACTGAAATTTATATTAATTCAGAGAGAAAATTATGGAACGTTAATATAAGCATTGAATTCATAATTTTGGAAGTCGTCGGTCATATAACAGCACTTGTCCGTGCCGACAAATTACCATACGGCGCTGGTTTGAAAGTACAAATAATATTGAGGAAATCAACAGAAGAATCAACAACAGAAACACAGATAAAAAGAACACCATATCGCAACAACTTGAGATAGAATGAAGATCATAGAAAGAAAGAAGGATAGAAAGAAAAGATAAAATAGACTTTTCGCAGAGTTATATTGTTGAATTAAACCGGCTTCGAATATCAGTATTCACTGACTGTGTTAAAGCTGAACACGACTCGTAAAAGGCAGAGATATATGTTTGTCCGCCATGCATATTACTCTGCATTTTCCGTTAGCTGTACGGCCCATATATAAGCCGTTCACTTGGTTTCGGCTCTATGTAATCAGTTTTCACCGATGTAGGCGAAGGTATTCTAAGCTATTTAAAACTCTTGGTAGCGACGAAAGCGTGCTTCTTCCACGGCAGAAGAGAATGTTACCATAGAAACTTACATCAGTTGCACAGGTCAGTGCAGTACAAACACAAATACATGTAAACTGCAATAAAATGTAAACAAAGACTACGTTAGATAACCAACACCAACACTTGTCGTCCATTCCACGCAGGTACCCTTGACAAGAAAGCAGTCGGGTGTAACGAGTGCGAAGGATATACCCCAGTGCTGATATAGGAGATAGGAAAACTAATATGGCATATGCTTATTTAAGAGTCGTGTTCCCCCTTAAGGTTACGTTTAATTCTCAAAGATTTATCTTCCACTCTGACAAACAATTGGGTCATCGCATTTTTAGGAGCAAACAGTGCTTTTAGTAGCCACCATTTAGACAACATCGCTAGCCTGAATCAACCAAGAGTGGAAAGAATGAAGACATTACTATCATTCCAATAACAGCATGTCACTTTGCTTGAACGTGGTTAAACATCATTAATTAATATCATATTGTAATAGCAATCTAGTTCCTAAGAACATTTTTGCGACTTATTTCGGTCAAATCAAAACCAAATATGACTCATGCTTTTTCGAGGACAGAAAACGGACTTTGATTGACCAGTGTTGCTGCTTACTACAAATGCCGTACTCGTAAACAATCATTTAATGTGATTGGTCAGTATTATCAGTGGTATTATCAGTCTGTAACGTAAGTATTAATAAAAGTACAACTTAATGAAATAAGAATAATTTTATGTACGATTTATTGATGTACAATATAGTCTCGTTCTGGAATAAATTAAGAAAGCACTAGATAGACTAGAACAGTTAGAGATCATCATACCTGTGAATATTCCTACTGATTGGACCTCAAGTTTTGTTGTTGCACCTAAATCAAATGGACAGATTAGGCTGTGGATTGATCCTAGACCGCTAAATCAAGCTCTGAAAAGAAACCATTACCCTACTCCACTAATTGAGGACATACTGCCAGATTTAGGCAAGGCACGTATCTTTACTTTAGTTGATGCACGAGACCAATTCTTGCATGTAGTCATGGATGAGCAGAGCAGCTATCTTAACTATCTTCTCAACGCCCTGGGGAAAGATACTGATGGTTGAGAATGCCATTCGGAATATCACCTGCTCCCGAGGAGTTCCAGAGACGCACGGAAGAAGCGTTGGAAGGAGTTGATGGCATCAAACCCATTCATGGTGACATATTGATTTAAAGATGTGGAGACAATGGCAAGGGAGTTCATGAAGACCATGATCGCAAGTTTGAAGCCTTGCTCCAGAGATGTTTAGAAACATTAAACCGAAAAGGAGAAGAGGAAACTAAAAGTAGACTCGGTCAATTACTTAATATTTGTCTTTTCGCAACATGGCCTGTGTATTGATCCTCAGAAAGTGAAAGCAATGCAAGAGATTCTAACGCCCCCGGATAGACAGGGAGTTCAGAGACTTCTAGGGATGACAAAATTTGTTCAACGGTAGTGTTGAGATTCTTTGATGAGCATAAGGAGCTAGTTTTGCAGTGTGTTTGGAGCTTGTTTACTTGCTTGCTTACGGACACCCAATAATGTATGCATCAAGATCACTAACAGACACTGAATGCAATTATGCTCAGATTGAGAAGGAGCTACTTGCAGTTGTCTTTAGAATGGGAAGATTTGAGAATTATACTTATGGTAGACACGTTGTTGTAGAATCTGATCATATGCCACTTGAGATTATACACAAGAAGAATTTACACTGTGCATCAAAGAGACAACAAAAGAATGTTGTTGAGGCTTTAAAAAATTGACTATGAAGTACACTATAAGAGGTACTTTGTTGACACTTTATCTAGAGCATATCTGAAAGCTCAGCCAGAGCCTAGAGGAAAAGGACCCTGTGGAAGTACACAATGTAGATTATAGAGAGTATCTACCAGTGTCTGAGCAACGCATTGCGGAAATCAGGAAGGCAACAGAAAGAGATGAAACAATGGAT